TAAAATCCTGGCTGTAAGACTGCAAAGATTAATCCTCCTGTCGACATTTATCCATAGAATATAAAATTTTTGCAACGACTATGCATCGAGATTTGTCTCTATTATTTGGCCGAAATGTCAAAAAGTAACTGAATTCTACTACATTTGCTTTTGTAGCTTCAATCATCTGGGAATCTATCCCCTTTGACTTAAAAAAGAAACTTTCTTATAATTGTCTCCAAAAGCAATACAAAATGTATCGTTTAAATACTCAATCTGTTTCCTGAGTGTAGTTTGCTTTTGTTTTTTACTGTTATTTAAATGTATATAATGTACATGTTTATGCCAATTAATTGACTGTGGCAGTGACCAACTCGAAAGCTTATGCTGCTTTGGTCACCGCGCACATTTTGCTTTTCACTACTGGTGTAATTTAGTACGCCTATGTCTCTCCTTTTTAATGTACTTTGATGTAGAAATAATTATATATAAATAGTGCAATAATAAAGATTGATTGAATGATTGATTGATCTGGCGAATTAGCCTCAGATTTGTTGTTTATATCGAGAAGCAAAGAGAAGAAACACATAATGTCAGACATGTAAACAACACTCAATCTGTACACATGTATATTTATATTTTCCCCCGTAGAAAATATGTAATGGTCGTTCCTAACCTTAAAAACAGTCACCTCATAAAGGTAAGAACTGTAAAGGAATGGAAGAAGTATAGGTCCCTTATGGTAGAGGAAAACTATCTACATTTGCATATCGAAACCGAATGAGAAAATAATTTAAAAAAAAACATCACATTGATCTAACGTTTATCAAGTAAAAATAGCAATATTCTCGAAACCTCTTTTCCATCTTGCTTCCAAAAGCAAGATAGCTATCGAAATACATCGAAAGGGGAAACGAAACTTTAATTTCTCTTCCCCTTCATTTCTTAGTTTTAGGGAGAAAAAGAGAGTCAAAATTTGTTCTTGTTTATTAGCATTGATAAAAATTGTCACACATAATGCAGTCAAAAATTAGCTTGTTGACGATGGGAAAAAGCCCTGTTATTCAAAATCTTGTAATTGATTTTGTAATGTATTATTCAACAGGTAATTCCTGTGAATATTGAGTTTATCTTAGAATTTTCTCTTTAACTTTCACAAGTATAGCAGTTTTTTCGACATTGATTCAACAGTATTTCGACATGTAACAACATTCGAACATAACGGATCGAAAATCAAAACCAAAACAGCTCGTATCGCGGTTTCCAGAGATTGACAGTTGATATTGATGAAATTCAACCTGGGAAAGAACCTTTACCGCTTGTAAGATGCGTTGGAAGAAAGAAACATGGAACACTATATCCCTTGATTTTTCTAAGGCCAAGACTTTCGTAAAATAAAAGGAAATGTTTGATAAGCTTTTGCTAACCCCGAAACTCTGTTTATTTATACCCGAGAACAAAAATAAAAAGCGAAATTTAGACCTTGTTTACATGGCGTTTTCCGAGAATTTTGCTCGTGACTTCCGGGAATCTCCCGTTTTCTGCTGGTTCATGAATTTATTATGCAGAGATGATATAAATACAAAGCCCGATGAAGCGAAGAGTCATTCGCTCAAGCCGGAATTTCGCGTTCAATTTTAATACTTTTCGACCAAGAAACAACAATGAGACCATACGCAAGGTCTGACGAGAAAAAGATCTTGAATGAACGGCTGAAAGACTTTATGGAGGAAGTCATTCCAGTTGATTTGCTCCCATATTTGACTTGTCTACAGCAGACGGATAAAGAGGACATTGAGGCTACACAGAACAACAAGGGACCAACAACGGCGAATCAAACTCTTGTTGATCGGCTGAAAAGACGGGACAAAGGCTTTTCGCACTTTGTACGAGCCCTGAGGCAAACTGGAAACGAACAGACAGCTTTGTTGGTTGATCCTTACTACCTTTACCCAAGTAAGGTAGTTCTTTGATCAGTATTGCTTTGATGTTATTCGAATTGATAATTGCATGACTACATTGTGTTTTGCCGAAGACTTTCCGGTCTCAAAACGCCCCTTGCGCGATAGCATTATGAGCTTTCAAATCTAAAGTTGCCCTCTATGCTGCCGTTCTAAACGGATTTAAACCAACGATTAATTCAGACTGTAAAAAATTATCTCACCGTTTCATTGCATCATAATTGCCTTTGTTTTTCCTTGTAATGTCTTTGAAGGTCTGTAATTGTTCTTTTAAGTCTAATTAACGAGCCTCAAAGTACCAATTTATGTTCACGCAGCCATATCCGCCATTATAAAGATCCTGAAACTGCCAATATTTATCGTTCTGACGCCGTTGTTCGGTCAGTTGCAAAAGATGAATGGACTCTGGACTCTGGGCTGGAATCTAAACTCTCAACTGGATTATAAGCCCCTGTCCGGCCTGGACTGTAGCGTAGTCCAAACGGGTACAAGAACGATGGCAACACAACGGGTTTTAATAAGTCTCTTAAAAGCCCGCCATTACTAGGTGTAATAAAACAACAACGACATCTGGGATACACTTTCATTCTACTGCGCATGCCCGAAGGGCCTATGACATCACAGCATCGTTACATGGACCCTAGCCTTTTTTTTCACTTATGTTACTACATTTTATTTTATTTATAGTTACATTAATTTGATTATTTTAAAGATAAATCCAGGCCAAGGTCCAGGCTAGAGTATTCTAGCTGGCCAGGTTCTTTTTGAGTAGTTTGCAGACGTTAAATTTAAATTGATCGTCATTTTATCGTGACTTTACGGAGTGAACAATAAATGAAAAAATTCAAGTCCGAAATGAAAACTTATCCTTATCGTATTATTTTTATTGGTTCTTGCTTCACTGCAGTGGGTTTTGATGCAGTTATATCGTATTTTTACTTTCGAATATTGTACGGTCTTGAAGGAGGTTGATTCCACTTAGTTTTCAGTTTATTTAAAGCTCATTATCTCCCTGCTGCATACGTAGACACAGGCTACTGGTGCATCAGGTGCTTCGATGAGGGTGGTCCTCTTCCAAAAGGCTTTTGATCTGAACATGAGGAACAAGATTGTATCGAAGATGATCTCAGTGATTTGCTTGATTGACTTTGTCGCACTTTGCAGTGCATTGCTGATTGTTAACTGTCTAGGTGTCAGTTACTTCTCACAAATTTTGAATTTGCTGTTTAGTTGATGTGGTACGTTACCATAGGATAGGAAAGGAAAGTCCTGGTTTTTAGTTGGTGATCTAATTTTGTCGTAGAAATATTAGGCGGGACGTTAAGTGCAGTATTCATGATTAACTGTTGAAGTAATTATTGACTAAGGGGTTAGCCGCACCATAAAAGATGACAATGGTCCCGATCAGTTTTATCAGTTCAACTAAGGACGGTTCATTTGACACTTAAACTAAAAGCTAGGGTTTGATTTGGAGGCAATTAAATATAATTTAGGATCTTAAACTGAGAGAGTTTATTGTTTGTATCCCTTGTGTCACTGAAAAAAAGGTTCTTGGCTATTACTAAATAGCTCCTGCCAGATAATTAGTTCAAAGATGGAGACGACATGATACAACATTTTAAATAACGATCAACTATAGAGCTCAGACTGATGGAGTTGATACTCTCTTGCCCACATTAAGAGGGCTTTACTTAAGAGCAACTGGCCGTAAAAAAATCTTTTGATGTTATCAATAGTTGGAAAGTGGTACGGTCGCCAAAATCTGATCTGAAAGACAAAATAGAGTGTTTAATACGGACCTTGCGCACCGTAGTGATTTATTTTGGTCTTTGCCACTTCCTAGTATAGTAAATTAGGAATTTTGGTACGCAGTATGGTTACTAAAGATGGTTTTAAAGGCTTGTTAATTATTGTTTACAGTTTTTATTAACGTAATATATTGCTTATGGAAAATAAATGACATCGAATAAGGGCTTCAAAAGCTTTTTGAAATTTTAATCCGCGATCAAGGCATGCATGTAAGCAACTTATGAACAGATTCACTAGTAAGAGGAAGTCTCTGATCATAACATTTCTTCAAACGAGCAAACTGAGAGGCATACGAATTACATAATCATCTCACAGCAGAACCAAAGCGAATAATTCTCCTAACTGAAGCCGTGACACAAAAAACCCGTTTTCTTTTTCATTTTTTTTTTTTTTTGCTGTAATTAATTCTGCTGTCAACTAAATTTCCGTTTACTTCTGTAGAAATTTAAAAAAGCTATTGACACTTTGACCCACATTTGGATTAAAAGGGATAAGATACGATCAGTAATCCTAAACCCAGAAATGCGCATGTCAGGCTCATAAGTAGCTTCACTCGACAACTAACGACCAGTTTAACTACATTAAGAAAGGCTCAGGATGGTTGCACAGTTTGCACCAGGAATTCGACAGATCAAGCTCACAAAAGAGCAGCTACAACATTTAGTGAACACTTTAACAGAAACTAGAGACGATGTTCGTCGTCTCCTTGACGAAGAGTGTGCCACCTCAATCGAATAGCAAGATTTCCAGAAAGTCTCTGATCGAATTGACCAGTTAAGCGCCTCTGCAATTTAGCTCACAGAACGGGCGGAGAATAAACTGCAGATCGCTTTTGTAGACTCCGTTGGCGCCTGAAAATCAACTTTGATAAACTCTTTACTCGGAAAAAACATAATGCCTGTTACTCGAGCGGAAACCACTTTTTGCCACGTAGCGGTCACCGGGTCCACGCGACGATTGGACGGCCGTTCTAAGAAGCTCTGGTAAAGTTCGAGAGATTACCGAGTTTCGACAGCTTCTTCACGTTCTAAAAGCCAAAGAGCAGCGGGAGATTCTCGGTATTACCCCAGCCAGTGTTGTCGATGTGAAATGGCCGACAGTGCGGTGTAAGGCTCTCGTGGAGAATGTTGTTTTGTACGATACTCAGGGCATAGGCGAGCGCAAGGCTACAGATGATGTAGTGATCGAACTCTGCCAGTTTGAGAACCGTAAGTAAAATCTAACCTTTTCAAATCAGATTAACCCGGAAGCGAAACAAGGGTCTCAATTTACTGCCAAATTACCGTGTTCTGTGTTATCAAAACTGCAGACTAACCATTAGTCCATCCTCTCCTCATAGTACTGAAGCTATAAGTCGGCGAGATTTATGNAGACACAGGCTACTGGTGCATCAGGTGCTTCGATGAGGGTGGTCCTCTTCCAAAAGGCTTTTGATCTGATCGATCGTAACCTCCTCGTGCAAAAGATCTTTAGTCTGGCCATTCCTCGGGGCGTGGCTCTCTGGGTCGTCGATTTCCTTGAGCTAAGGCACCAGCGTGACAAACTTTCATCTGACCGCTACTCGGAATGGGGTCTAGTCCCCGCCGGTGTGCCTCAGGGCACCAAATTAGGGCTCTGGCTCTTTATCTTAATGATAAATGACCTGCCTGTAAACAACTTACATGCGTGGAAATACGTAGACGACACCACAATTGGGGAAATCGTACCAAGGGGAGGACAAAGTAACATCCAGAGCGTAGTCGATGTCGTGCAGGGCTGGTCCAACAACCAAAACATGCAGTTAAATGTGGACAAATGTAAAGAACTGATAGTTGATTTTAAGAAACGCAAAGATGTGTTCGATCGTGTAAGAGTAGGTGGAAAAGATCTATCCACAGCTCAGTGAGTTTAAATTTTAGGGGTTACTATAGCTAACTATCCTAAGTGGAATTATCATGTAAAAGAATCTATTAAGAAGGCCAATAAGCGTTTGTATTTTCTAACCTCCTTAGGAGGGCCGGCGTCAGCCACAGAGACATCATTCAATTCTATTGCACTGCAATAAGGCCTGTTCTAGAATACTGCACTCCTGTTTTCCATCACAGCCTTCCTGAATACCTTAGCGATGACCTCGAACGTGTTCAGAAAAGAGCATTGTCTATAATAGCGCCTTTTCAATCTTATAGTCAGTCCCTAGATAGTTTTGGACTCTGTTCCCTTCGTCACAGACGAGAAGACCTATTCTCTAAGCTCTTCACGAGTATTACGAGTACAAGTCACCACAGCCTCGCCCACCTCTTCCCCCACGCCACCAAAGATCATACAAGCTAAGAAGATCAAGAACTTTTCAGCTACCACGGTTTCGTGCGAACCGTTTAAACAACACTTTTATTCCGGTCATGTGCCAACGTATTAATGACAATCGCTAGTATCGAATAGATAATTTTACCCATTACTCTATAAATAGACTTTTGTATTGTAAATTGACCATATTGCAAATAGTTTTGATTCAGCCTTTGTGGCTGCGATTTATCTATGTTATCAAACTATCTGTTTATCTATCTATCTATCTATCTATCTAACTATCTATCTATCTATCTATCTATCTATCTATCTGTCTATCTCATGGGCAAAATGATTGGTTTCTCCTACATCGTTTAATTGTGTCTTTGTGTTTTGTAATTAAGCTACATATTTATCTGAACACAGTTGACGAAGGGGATGATGAGGTAGCTGTTCCAGATGGCTCGGGGATCGGTTATAAAAGGATTGGAACAGCAATTGGTAAGCTATATGAATATATAGTAATATCTGCATTGATTGATAAAAGCACACAGAAGGATGTGCTTTTGTTAATGGGACAACATAGGGAGAAGAATACATGAAGGAAGGTCCGGCCTAAGTGAAAGTAGAGCTCCTCACCCCC